TTAAGAGGAAATTATGTGTGTGTGTATATATATATATATATGTATATATATAATTGCAATAATCTCCAAATAAATTTTAATTAACTGTGTTTTTATTACATTCTCTCGCCCCCAATTCCGTAAGTGATTTACCTCGTACGTAGATGTGAGCTGCAATTCGTAGAACACTGGCAGGTAGAAGTAATTGTTGATTATCCCAACTAAGATCGCTGAAATGCACACTAACCAATACATGGCTCCATATATATAAATCTCGGATGGCACGCCCATCACTGTGATCCCAGATATAGTGCTGAAAAAAAATGTGTAAATTTTTCCAAGTTACTTTTGTTGTTTTCCTTAGGATGTTCTGTAGTTTCAATTAATAAAATATTAATGTTTAGTAACTTATATATGGCCTTATTATCACTTTTTAAAATATTAATTTTCCTATTAATTGTTTTATTTTAATGTTCTTAAATAGTTTGTTTCTTCAGGAGTTCTTTACAACACTGTAACAATACCAGTCGTTATTATGAGTCATCTGAAATCATACAAAAAATTGTAAATTATAGTTGGCTTACTTAACTAGCTGTACCCATAATTCTGTTGTACAGTATTCCTATCACGTGGTATAAATTATTACTAATTTAATACGGAATATTGTAAAACTAAAGACGTTTTACAGATATAACGCTGGCCTTGTAATCCTGGGGTCTCGGGTTCGATTCCCGGCGGTGCCCGAATTTATAACTTATGTTGGGCAAGGCCGTGGTCTAGGCAACACGGAGTTTTTCTCCGTGGCATCCCAACAATTACTCCATTCACACACAGAAGAAGGCAATGGCAAACCACTTCTGGATAATCTGCCAAGAACGTATATGAACAGGTCCCAGTCCGAGAAAAGGATGGAAGGATCCTGTTCATATGGACCTGTCGTCAGACAGAACACTAAATAAATAAATAAATTACTAATAATGGTCCCCAAATAATACGGCCAACTGTACAGTTTGAAACTGTTATATAACTTTTGGAGGCGACTTTAAGACAGGACCATTCACTTCTGTGTTAAATTCTCAAATATGCTAAAATGTAATAATTATCTTGATATATATGTTAAATTAAAATGTCCAGTTATTTTATACTACAGAATCAATGTTTTTGTTAAGAGCGCTGGAAAGTTAAGTGCAAGTTAGGGCGAAGAGTGATTTAATTTTTCTTTCCAAATTTTATCACTTCATGCAGAAGGCAAGTGCACCGAATTACATCTGTGGTTTGTGTTGTAGTCGATTTTTGTCATTTAGGCAGTAGTGACACATGTCTGATTATACCTTTCCCGAATCTCTTCTCGTGCTTTCGTAAAGGTTTTAAAACAAGGAAACTTCCCAGGACGACCAAGGTAAAATTTTACTCTGATTTTCCTTCACGTTTCAAAACCTTTCACCAAATTTATGACTTCACATTTATTTTATTTATCATTTTTGAATTCTTGTCAAAAAAATTTATTAATTCCTACGGTGTCACGTTAGTAATATAGGATTACATAAGATTTAATAAAATATGACAATAATACCAGCATATTAACAGGATAATAGTTTCGGATGCTTGTGGTAAGGGCGACACGTTCTACAGAGTTCTAAGATATGAGAAATCAGGACGTCTCAGTGGCAGGTGCATACCGGTACATGAACCGAACAGTTCTGGCGTATACTGGTATGAAACAAAGTTCACATTAGTTGAGGTTTCACATGACGCAGCTTAATGCTGATTAGGCGAGTGTAAACGTTCAAACAAATCATTTTGCTGGAGATAGTGAGTGATATCTCCAATTGAGGGAAGACGTTTTCCGTCCGCTAGCAGCAAGGAGCTCCAATAAAATACATACATTTTCAATATTCACTGCTTAATATTTTTCATACTGAACTGTCATGATTTTCATTTATTACAAATATATACAGCCTATGGAAATTATTTCACTGTTTGTTGCACTGAAATTCCATGACCGAAACATCATACTCCATACACCAGTATGGTGAATTATGTGTGAGGAAATAAATAAAGCTGATTTTCAGCTCCAATGTGTTGTTTATATTGGAGATTTGCAAAAATTAATTAATTGAACTATTTTGTATTTTGATTCCTACTGTAATTGACCTTCCGGCTGTTCGTTAAGCACGCTGATAATAAGGAATTGAATTGGACTGAATTGAATTGAATATTAAAATATATCGGAATCCGTTCATTTTTTTAGATTACAGAATGCTGACAGACGTACAGACTGACTTAAACTCCCTTTGCGGAAAGGACGCATAAGTACTCGTCATAATACAACAGAATATTTTGGTTTTCTGATGCCATTTTGTATTCCGACATGTTACGGAGTGAAACGAATTCTTCTAGTACAAAGAATGAAGTGAATTTGTTGCTGATGGGGGTGTTTTCACGTACACCTGATGAACTATCTTAAAATCCCCTACTTTCTCGTAGACTGCGAGGTCGGAATACAAGTTATAATGAAATTTGATTTCAGTAGCACAAGTGAAAACATTTATTTGATCATTTGCGGTACGAAGTGTTTATTGAACAGTACAGAGTAATTCAAGTATAACTAATATCCCTGTTTTGTGTAACCTGAAAGTTGAATGCTATCATCAGAGAAACCCGTTCCTGTACACTACACTAGATTATTCGTTTTAGAAATATATATAAAAAATTTAAAAGATTTTCGGTGTGATGACAGCAACTAGTATATAATTAGTCTTATTTTGCTATGATGTAATTATAAGTTTACAAACCCCTGAATGAATGGAATTGTTTAGACAATTCAGTCATGACGTCACACCTGACTGGTTGTTTCTTCGTACGACAGATAAACAAGAAGTGAACATTAAATTACCCAGAAGTTACAACATTTTACAAGAGAAATTATGAGGACTGTCCAGTCAGTGTTCTCTTGGTCTACGGTGATGGACATAATCGCTAAAACTCTGGAAATATGATTTTAATATGTCACAGAATAGGGGTATACATGATACGTATTTTTGTGTTGTGTTGTTTTATGTAGTACAGCCCTTGCTGTGGGCTCACTCACCGCCCAAAAATACCATACCAAGTGCCTGAAAGGATTCATAATTCCAGAATAATTCTGTGCGGTCTTTGGTAGTTCTGCCACTGGAGGTCAATGAATTAAATAAAACAGTGGAAATGACGCAGTGTAAGAAAACTAAGCTAGTGCAATGATTGAGTTTTTTACTGAAGAAAACGTCTCACCGATTTATATCAATCGGCAATTGAAAGCTGAAGGCATATGTTGGGAAATTTAATCCGCACATGCGGCTGATTTTCATTCAACACGACTACTCGTATGTGAAGCTTTATACGAATACGAGCGACTATAAAGATTCCAGATGATATTAATATTACTTCGAGAGTCATACGTAACAGTTTTGATAAAAAACTGCATAATCATAATATGTTTTATGTATTTCTTTGAGTCTACAGTACTGTGTAGATCGCCCTAATGATGGAGGAAACAACTCTAAAATGTAGGTAAAATTCTTCCAGTCTACTCGGCGCTAAAACCGAAAAGACAGCCATTTTTGTACTAACCGCCATGAGAACTTAACATCCTAGTTATACGAACGTTGACGGTTGTGTGTCTGCAGCATAGTAGACCGTATTGACATGTGTTAAATTTCAGAATTAAGTTCAAGAAAACTCATGTATATTGGAAAAAAATTAAGAGGTGTTACATTTAAAATTTCTTCGTGTATGTAACGGACTTTTCTCTTCGCCACATGGGTTAAAAATTTCTGGACCCTTCCAGTCTCCGTAGAATGGGTACTGTAATTTCTTCTTGGCTAAAGCGACCGGAATGTGAATGTGTGAAATAAAACTCGTAAATGTAGAGATAAGGAATACGTGGAGCTTTATGTGAACTTCGCCTGTACAGTTCTGCAGTGTATGACAACCTTATAAATAGCTCTTAACATATGTGATGATTAGTTGTAAAAAATAAGAATTTAAGACTGATAAAAACAAATACATATCTCGTTGTTATTATGAGTTTTAACCCATTGGTATATTCTCAATTCGTAAGACTTAAAATCATTTACATATGTGCATTAACTCAGTATTAGTAGACCATTTAAAACATGTTCTGTCCATGGGAAATATATTTACAATATTTTGGTGATAAAGCTTCATAGAACGGAAATTCATCTTTACGCGAGACGTACTGGTTAGTTCTAAATCTAGAGTGAATGTAAATTCAGTTGAATGCAGTTTGGGTTGTATCAAGTCGCGATATTTTTTGCTGTGGTGATGATTTGTAACATTGGATAACAATACAAAACCGAATATCAGTTTTTAATGAAGACTTTACTGGTTGTGTGGCCATGTAACTATGTGATGTAAGACTTGAGGTTCTCACAGCGCAACAACCCAGAAGACGGAAACCTAACTATGTGATCATTGAGTTACTATTTTCGTTACATAAGGTTGCATTATTAGACCGTAGAATCAGTAACAACTAAGAGTGAAAATCATTAGCCTTCCTGAACACTAACCTGGATACAAGGGATACAGCTACTGGAATTATGCCCATTGCTTTCCCACCATGCAGATACTCTTTTGGGGTGTCTTCTTTCTTACCCCAGAAACCGAAATAAACGCCAATTAACGTTGACGAACCCAGCATGAGACCAAAAAATGTTAAATCCAACCAGCCAACAACAGGCGATGTCCTGGAGATGTCGTAAGGTATTGTCAAGTTTGCACTCATCCTACAACTGAATACAATAATTAATAATTCGAATGTTAATTAATTGTTTCACAGAATAATGAACAACTGACCAAAAATATGCAAAACACTACGAAGATCAAAAGGAATACATACAAAAAGAAATCTACAAAACAAATAAATCAATAAATCGTTGCATTAATAAATATATATTAGTTTTAAAGATTAAAATAACAATAAAAAACCTGAGGATGGTGCAATAGCATCGAAACATGTCGTAAAATAATAAGCGCTGAAATGTAACATCGTAATAACGATGAAAAGCGCTAAATTTTAATTTTAATTTTAACTACAACATTTAAAAATTAAAATTAAGTTTGTGTATAGACTGAAATAATAAATAAATATATATTGAATACACGTATTTCCTGTAATAGAATGAAGCGTAGCTTGTCACCTACGTTCAATGACAATGCACGTTTCGGGCCTAGGGTCAGGTGTTGTGATTATTTCTTCCGATATTTGCATATAATTTTAAAAATGTTAATAAAGCGAACAGTAGTAACACGTGTATCTTAAAATTTTTTACAAAGGCAGTTTAAAATATTCTTTATGATGTAAATCTTGTGTCTGTGTAAATGCAGTTTTATTTACAACATTTTTTGTATCTGGTATAAATAATTACCATTCCCAGCAACGCAGGTAAACTAACTGTAAAGTATTTGGAAAATTACTACGTGTCATATAATAGTTATTTTCTCATTACTGTTGATTACCCTTCTACACTGAACGTTTGGCCAACTTCGGAAGCACTGAAGTGCATATTATCAGCGCATTATTCTTATTTTTATCATCAATATCATCAAACCCTTTTTGAGACTTGCAATTATCCTAAAAATGATGGCTGACTTTTGGGTTGTTTTGGTCATGGCACTGATGGTGAAAGGCAGCAACAACCTCTGAAACGTCGGTAAACGTCTACCTGACTACATGGCCCAATAACCTTGAAGATAACCATCTTCATATTCGCTGAACTGAGAAACTGAAATCTAATCTAATCTAATCTAATCTAATGGAATTCTGGAATATACTTTTATGTTGCTATAATTTTTTAATCTTTAATTTATGTTTACATTTTCAGAATTTGATACGTTGTTTATATAATTTAATGCCGTATGTTTGTACATGGTTTCTGTAGTTAAGAAACCCGACTTTATAATCGATTCCCGACAGTGCTTCGACTCTTAAAAAGTAAACTTTTAAAAACCTTATTCAATTAGCCTGTGTGTAAGCCTGCTATAAACTTCGCCTTCTGTTCTTGCTACGTCTGAATACGACACGCACACTTTTATCTCAGAACTTTATCAACAAAATAAAGTTTTTAGGTTTTATCAGTACCACCTACCTGAAAATATATCTCAGCCAGTTCGTCCTATGTTGTCCGACGTTGTACTGAAGGATCGCTGAATTCTCATATCGTAACTCCGTAGCATGAATAGTTTTAAAGCTGTTTGTAACAAAGACTACATGCAATTAAGTGCTAGTTACGCGTCTGGTGTTTTACAAACTGAGCCAGGTTTTATTTCTTTTATTTTAGAATAAAATCCTTTGTAAATTCAAGCGACTGTAACAATTCAAATTACGTACAAAGGTCGCACGAGACTTTATCTATATATTGTATCGTAAATTACTCTCTGAGACTTTAATGCGATAAACGGAACATGCTGTCGCCATATCAGCTTTAAGACACGACTCGGTTGCTATGCGTCAGCGCTAAGCGAATGGAAGAACGGAAACTGAGAAAGCTGAGAAAGATAAACATACCTGATTTCCTCGACGTTATATATTCTTAGTATGAAAATAGACTCCCGTTTAAAACTCATCACCTATGATCTTCTTCACAGCCATAAACAAAAAACAATAATCAGGCTGTTTGGAATTGTATTGACTCAAAATAATCACAAAATCTTCTGCGCGGACTACGTTAATGTTGTGCAGGTTTAGAGTATAATAAAAACTGTTTTTTGCATCTTATTTCGGTACTTTATCTCAATTCTATTTTTCTTTCCTTTGATTTGTTTGTCTTTATTCTTGCTTTCACTCTCTGTATTTACTTACTTTGTTTTTTATTGTCTTCTCGTTTTATTTACATGGAAGAATACACTGAAATATGGACACGTAGGCTGGTTACACTTTTATTATTCAGCTAGATGAACTGCTGATCTGAGGGATGGCTTCTTGTAACCTCGTTACAAAAGTATTTCAGGTGCATGTACCAGGTGTTTAAACAGAGTGGGTACTTATACGTATCACACAATTCAACGTTCAGTAACTCTCGATTTTGTTCAAAGAATGAATTTGTGGTTTTACATGACTATAAGAATAACGATATCTCGTGAAACATCATTAATGAATTGATATATATAATGAAACGCGCTGTATTTTTTAGATTATGAATTAATATTTAAATATAGATTTTCTCAGAGTGATTACGTTATTGAATATTTCCTGTACTATGTTAATGAAATAACATGACAAATGTTCAAAAACAGATTAAGTTAACATGTATACATTTTAACTATCTAACTGTCTCCCTGGTAATTGAAACCACAGGTCCACAACCGACAACGCCAAAGCCCGCCACCTGACACCATCCTTAGCCAAATCTATCCATTTTTCATCCTCACAGTACACCTCTCTATGATCCAACTGTCATCTCCTTCTTGGTCGGGCAAGTGGTTTTGCAGAAGGATTTCCCACCAAATTTCTGTCCCAACTGAAGACATAGGATGCGATGACGTGTGGGCTTACGGATAACCTGTACAAGTCAGGACAGTGAGACGGTGAGATCTTTGGCACTGTAAATTCTTCCTCCAAAAATCGAACACTGATTGTCCTCTGTAACCTAGACAAAACAATGTTAATATTAACATATTTTATACTATTTAATATCATGTGATTGATCTGTTCTAAAAATGTTGGAAGATTCTTAAACACTGGAGCGTATTCTATGTGTATAAACATTATCGCAGAAACAGTAGGTAGGTTGAACATATTTCTGAATTCTGATTTAATATCATGTCTATAATTTATAATATACATGTTACAACAAGGAAATCTCCGTAATTCAAACACCTGTACCCTCTGATAACGAATTTTAATTTACATTGACATTTATAATAAAAACATTTAAGCTTGTAAGGTAAAAATACTTCATCTATATGGACAATATATCATGCTTCGTTAGGAATAAATCTACTTATACGACATAAGCTAAGCTATGACACAACGCTGCGAAAAATGTTCACGATTTTTAGGTGTTATTCACATATTAATAAGGTAAACGTGTCCCACGGTTCATTACATTTGTTTCGCAGGTGTGTAGAAACTCGGAATTGGCTAATGTTAATAATTGCTTATATAGGTAATAGCTTTTCGGAATTCTATTTGTGACTTCAGCATGCTGAAGCGAAATTTTCTTTTAAGTGCGGTTGCGTGATTTTTTTTAAATTAATCAGTGTAGCCAGAATTGAATAAGACTGAATTAAAATTAAGATTGAAAAACTCTAATATGGGCAGTAATTTAAACAATAAACTTAAGTACAGGCCTATAGCAGGGAGAGAGATTCTGGTGTAGGTGCACTACGCAAATTATTATACTAATTGAATTATGAACTTTTACCAAAAATTAGCTCTAATACCGGTAACAAAATCTAAAAATTTTGTATTAGATTTCAGACTTTCAACAACTGTGAAACAAAATTCTACCACTGAAATCGAAGGTGAGAAATTTTCTTCCAAGTGAGGTTAACAATACCCACTTAACATCAATTTTAATAGTATACTTTAACCTCTAGTTTTGTATACACTGTTACTAAAATAAAATTTCTTGTTCCAAAAGTGGAACAGTCCAATGTTAGGTATTTCAATAGTATATTTATTACTTCTCTTATGTGAGCTATACGTACAATAAAAGTAATTCAGTGAAAAGTTTATATATAAAACAAGATGATGGCTATATATAGCCGAAACATGTTGTGTAAGTTCCATATGTAAATCGAGTACTCGATAGGGAACATAATATGATATTTTAATCTTTTAATCTTTTAATTTTATTGTGATTGACGGTTATTTTTAAATATTTTAATACTATTAATTCACAATATGACGCATCTACAATACCTTTTGAAAGATGTTACTGCAGATCACTCAGTCGTACACTGATAATACCGGTCATTACAGCCAAGTTGTTAGCATTCCTCCTTCGTATTCTGGAGGCTCAGGATTCAGATCTCGGTCGGAGACAAGATATACCATCTGAGGCTTTTTGTGATATTGATCAGTTCGTCGGGACAAATTCTGGGATAATACCTTAAATTGGCACACGATGGCTTCTTTACATATAATTTTCTGTTCATAAATAATCGTATCAATCAACGCTATAAGCCCATCATCTAACATAACTGACAGCGTCTTTAAGTAGAAGTAATACATAAATGAATAAAGAGACTGGTAGGTGGTGGTGTGATAAAGACAAATTAAAGTTCAGAGCATCTATACTTCGAAATATTAGGACGAATTCGGTGGACGTAATTTTTTATTCTTTTTTAATGGAGCTGTCACCAAGACCGAATGCAAGTGGGTTTAAAATTAAACAATTACCGTTTTTAGTGTACTTATCCTAGCAAATCTAAAGTCAGTATCAGTAGCAAGGCCACTGTATTAAAGTTTTAATAATCGATATTTATTTA